CCATGTGTTCCCCGAAGGCTTTCCAAACCGATTCGGGGAACACCACATGGTCCGATAGCTTGGCAGGTCTGGCCTCAATGTTCGGCCGCATCGGCGCTTCCAAAAAGGCAGGGGGGCGGCGGTGATTCGCCGTAGGCGTCTTCGATCCGCCGCCCCCTGTTGATTCATGACAGGGGTGCCTGGAGTGCTGAACTCTTTCGTTTTTGTTTCCGGTTCTCTTCCAAAAGCACTCCCCCTGGGGCTCCGGCGCGTCCCGCCGGGGTCCCGGGACGATCTTCAAGGAGCTCAATTCCCCAAAAAATCTCCCAACACGATCCAAGATGGCCTCCAAGATGGCCACGTCGGCCCAAGATGGCCTCCAAGATGGTCCAAGAACCCAAGAAGCCTCCAAGACGGCTCAAGAGGTCTCCAAGAGGAGACGGCCCAAGATGCCTCCAAGACGGCCTAACATGGCGTCAACATTGCCCAAGACGGCCCAAGAGGCCCTCAAGAGGCCTCCGAGACTGCCCAAGAGGCCTCCAAGAGGTCCTCCAGGAGGGCCCGAGGGGACGAAAATCATCAATGTTCCAAAAGTGTTTCAAGGATGTTGGCATTTTTTTCTTCTCGCTATTCCGACGGTTCAAGACGGCCCAAGAGGCTTGTCCCTCTTCCTCTTCATGTTCCTTCTCCCCCACGTGTTCCCCGAAAGCTTTCTAAACGAACTCGGGGACACATGGTCCGATACCTTGGCAGGCCTCTGACCACAACGTTCGGCCACATGGGCGCTTCCGAAAGTGCAGGGGGCGGCGGTCATTCGCCGTAGGCGTGTTCGATCCGCCGCTCACAGGAATGCCCGGCGGGCTGGATCCTTTCCTTTTTGGTTTTGTTAGAACTCCCTTTTTGTTTGCCTTCGGCCCGTCCCGCCGGCCACCCGGAAGGGCGCGCAGAGATGCCCAAATGGTGGTTGCAAACGGTTTTTCGCTGCCAGACGGCTCCAAAATGGCCTCAAAGATGGCCACGATGGCCCAAGATGGCCTCCAAGTTCGCCCAAGATGGTGCAGGATGCCGTCGAAGACGGCCCAGGACAGTCCAGGATGCCTCCAAGTTCGCACAAGAAGCACCTAAGACGGCCCAAGTAGCCCCACAGGCCTCCAAGAGGTCTCCAACACGACCCAAGAGGCCTCGAAGGGGTCTTCCAGGGTCCTCCAGGACGGCCCGAAGAGGGGAAAATAATGGATTTGCGTTAGGTTTTTTCAAGGATTGTGGCTGTTGCTCCTTTTCTTCCGACGGCCCAAGACTGCCCACGAGGCCTACGAAATCGCCCCCACAGTGCCCAAAGAAGCTTCTAAGACGGCCCCAGGACGGGCCCAAGAAGGCCCCAAGACGGCCCAAGAGGCGCCCAAGAATCTCCAGATGGCCTCCAAGACTGCCAAGATGGACTCCAAGATGCCTCCAATACGGCCAAGATGGCCTCCAAGACGGGAGAGATGGCCCGAAGATGCACCCAAGACGGCACAAGATGGTCTCAAGATGGCCTACGACTGCCCAAAGGGCCCGCAACAGGCCTCGAAGACGGCCCAAGAGCCCTCCAAGACGTCCTCCAGGAAGGCCCGACATGGTTAAAATCATTGACTTTCCGTAGGACAGCCCAAGAGGCCCCCAAGACGGTCCCAAGAAGGCCCCAAGACGGCCCAAGAGGTCCCCAAGACGCCCAAGATGGCCTCCAAGACGGCCAAGATGGCCTCCAAGATGCTTCCAAGACTGCCACGGTGGCCTCCAAGGCGGCCAAGATGGCCCGAAGATGCACCCAAGACGGCCCCAGATGGCTTCAAGATGGCCTATGACGGCCCTATAGGCCCGCAGGAGGCCCAAGACGGCCCGAGAGCCCTCCAAGACGTCCTCCAGGAAGGCCCGAAAGGGCCAAAATCATTGAATTGCCTTAGGTGGTTCAAGGATTTGGGCTTTTGCTCCTTTTCAGTCTTTTGACGGCCTAAGACGGCCCAAGCGGCCCCAAACATCGACCCAAGAGCGCCCAAGAGGCCTCCAAGATGGCCCCATGACAAGAAGGCCCCAAGAGGGCCCAAGAGGTCCCCAAGACGCCCAAGATGGCCTCCAAGACGGGCCTGAAGCGCCCCAAGAGGTACTCAAGTCCATTCAGAGAGGCCGCCAAGACGGTTTCCGACGGTCTCAGACGGGCCAGGAACGCCCTAAGACTGCCAAAGAGGCACCCAAGAAGCCCCCAAAGGCCCCCAAGAGGCCGATGGAAGCCCCCAAGAGGCCTCCAGGAGGGCCCCAACCCCAAGACGGCCCAAAGGCCCCCAAGACGCCCAAGGTGGCATCCAAGACGGACAGGATGGCAGATGCCTCCAAGACGGCCAAGGAGGCCTCCAAGACGGCGAAGATGGCCCCACGATGCACCCAAGACGGCCCCAAATGGCTTGAAGATAGCTTTAGAATACCCAAGAGGCCCGCCAGAGGCCTCCACGACGGCCCAAGAGCCCTCCAAGACGTCCTCCAGGAGCTCGCCCGACTCTGTGTTCCCCGAAAGTTTTCGAAACCCACTCGGGGAACGCGTTGCCTGATAGCGTGGCCAAGCTCAAACCAAACTTTCGGCCACGCAGGCGCTTCCAAAAAGGCAGGGGGCGGCGGTGATTCGCCGTAGGCGTCTTCGATCCGCCGCCCCCTGTTGGCTTGCCACAGGGGTGCCCGGCGTGCTAGATCTTTTCGATTATGGTGTTGGTTCTTTGTCCAAAAGAACTCCCCCTGGGGCTTCGGCAGATCCCGCCAGGGTCCCGGAAAGGCCCCGCAAACACCTCAACGACCGCAAAAAAAAATCCCCAAGACGGTTCAAGATGGCTTTTAAGATGGACACGTTGGTCCAAGATGGCCTCCAAGATGGCCCAAGATCGCTTCCAAATCGCCTCAGGTGGTCCAAGATGGCTTCCAAGACGGCCCGGAAGAGTCCAAAATGCCTTCAAGTTCGTCCAAGAAGCCTCCAAGACGGCCCAAGATGGCTCCAATATGGCCTAACACTAACCAAGAGGCCCCCAAGAGGCCTCCAAGACGTCCCCCAGGAAGGCCCGAAAGGGCAACAATCATTGATTTCCCTTAGGTTTTTGAAGGATTTGGGCATTTTCTTTTTATCAGCTCTCCGACGGCCCAAGACGGTCCAAGAGGCCCCCAACATCGTCCCAAGAGCGCCCAAGAGGTCCCCAACATCGGCCCAAGGGGCCCCGAACACGCCCATTCCTCACTCTCCTCCTCTTCCCCGTCCTCCCCCACGTGTTCCCCGAAGGCTTTCCAAACCGACTCGGGGAACACATGGTCCGACAGCTTGGCAGGGCTCTGGCCTCAACGTTCGGCCACATCGGCGCTTCCGAAAGGGCAGGGGGCGGTGGTGACTCGCCGTAGGCGTCTTCGATCCGCCGCCCCCTATTGTCTTGCCACACGGGTGTCCGGCGTGCTGGACCCTTTCGGTTTCGGTTGCGTTTTTTCTCCAAAAGAGCCATCCCCTGGGGCTCCGGCCCAGCCCGCCGGCCACCCAGAAGGGACCATAAGATCCAATTCCAAAGGTTCTTCCTGCTCCAGGCGGCTCCAAGATGATCCAAGCTGGCCTCCAAGACGGCTCAGATGGTCCGAGGTGGTTTCCAAGTTCGCCCAAGATGGTCCAAGATGGCCTCCACGACGGCCCTAGAGGGTCCAAGATGCCCCCAAGTCGGCCCAAGAAGCTTCCAAGACGGCCAGGCATTCAGCCGATCGCGTTCGGGAGTGCTCTGCTCTGGCCAAGATGGCCTCCACGACGGCCCAAGAGGGTCCAAGATGCCCCCAAGTCGGCCCAAGAAGCCTCCAAGACGGCCAGGGATTCCGCCGATCGCGTTCGGGAGTGCTCCGCTCTGGAACGGCCGCGGCGCCGGACACATCCTCCAGACCCGCCAGCTCTCAGTCGCCATGCAGCAGACAGACCCTCAGGGACGCGGGTCCCGAGTTCTTTGTTTTTGTTGTTCAACTTTCTGCTCCCACAGCCTCTGATGATCCCATGAACAGTCAGAACGACTCAGGATGGCGAGCTGGTCCTGGGGGAAGGCCTCTGGGGTCCAGGAACCGTGTCCCTCAGGACTTGCTTTTGCTTCATGCCAGCCTCGATCTATTGCGAAGGCCTTACGGCCGGTGCCGCCGACTCTGAAAGCGGGATCTTCCCAGGACCCCCGCTGGCGACCCCCCCCCCCCAGGACCCTCTTGAACTCCGGGGGGGTCGGTGTTCTGACCCGGGACCGCCCCCTCCCACCACCGGCAGGGCCGGGATCCCTGCTGGCGACCCCCCCGATCGGGACCCGCCAGGACCCAGGGGGGGGCTGGGGGGGTGTATTTCACCACCCACCAAACCACCCAATGTGCCCTCCATTCCCAGTGGGGGGGGTCGGAGAATTCGGGAAAAAATAGCACATGGAACCCGTACCCCCCCAACCCGAAATTCGGGTCTTCGGGTTGGGTTGGGGTGGGCTGGTGGTGGGTAGTCAGTATTCTGACCCGGGACTGCCCCCCTGCGAGACCTCCCCCAGGACACCCGCGGACCACCCCAGGACCCGCCGGGACCGCGGAGGGGGGGGGGCATTGCAACCTGGGACCCCACCCCGTATCCCCCCCTCCTCCCCCCCTTCAGGGACAGGAAGAAGGGAATCGACTTAATTGCGACGTTTCCTCTTGTTTTTCAATTTCCTTGGGACTGGCGGCGGCGACGGCGACGGCGACGGCGACGGCGACGGCGACGGCGACGGCGACGGCGACGGCGACGACGACGACGACGACGACGACGACGACGACGACGACGACGACGACGACGACGACGACGACGACGACGACGACGACGGAGTCCAGGACCCGCTTTCCTCGGGACTCGTTTGCTTCACGCCGGCCTCGAAGAGTCCCGAACTATTCCGATCCGAGCTTGTCCTCATCCTGCCTCCGTGCTGCGCGAGAGCTGGGCCAGACACCGTGTGCAGTGCTGGGCCTGTGGCCACTGGCTCAAGCCTTCGACTCCAGCCTCGGACTCAGGCCGGGCGCCCAAGCGTGAGCCCAAACCTTCGCACCCAGCATCCACCCCGGGCTCGAACCGCCTTGTCGTGCCGAGGGCATGCGGAGGGGCGCGAGCACGGCGTGCCTGGCGGTGGCCGGCGGCGCGCGCAGCGGGGCTTCGACCCGACCGATCCGCTTCGACATCCGTTGCAGCCGGCCCGGTCCGATTCGATGCCGACGTTCTGGCGAACCGCTGCGGCCCGATGCCCGCGTGGCGTTGTCGTGCATCTTGGCGCCGCCGATCCGACTCGATTCCTGCTCTGTGCGGATGCAGCCCGATCCAGACGCACACTCCGATTCGATCCGATTCGGTGCTGGCTGATCCCGTCGGTGCGTGGAGAGCGGGGCTGGCCATGTAAGAACGCGGGGGGTATCGCTAAGAAGCCCCTCGCACCTTCCAAGGAGCCCTCTTTTAGGGGAAGCCCCCTCGCCCCGAACCCCTGCCCCAGACATCCGACGATGCGTTGTTTTGCACAGCCCGCGGGCCCCAGAGTAGGGCGGCGAGATACGTGTAGATACCGCCGCCCCATAGAGCGAAGAAGAACAAACCACATAAACATAAACTTCTGGCGCTCCGCGCGGATTTCTTGGATCCGCGCCTGGGCCCCCCGGCGGCGCCTCCGGCGCCGCCCCTGGCGCGCTCCGCGCGCCAGGGAGGGGGGTCCAGCGCGAATCCAAGAAATCCGCGCGGAGCGCCAGAAGTTTATGTTTATGTGGTTTGTTCCTCTTCGATCCTCCCAGATGACCGACGAAGGTAAACGGGGTCGACCGCGCCGACATTGACGCGCGAGCTGCCCGCAGAAGGTCGCGCGTGAGCGCCCTCGTTTCCAGTGTAGGGTGCCTCGCTGGCGGCCCCCGTGAGCCGCGGCGCGAGGCTGCTGCGTCGTCTCGCCCCCCTTTTAACTTCGTCGCTCAGATGGCCTCCAGAGCACAGAGCACACCTCACAGGGCCCAGAGCGCCCTGAGAGCCCCAAGACGCCGCGGAAAGCCGGGGGGACCTTGGGCCAAGATCACTTCGGGCAGCCAACGAATGCGGGCGACCCAGAGGATCAAACGCTCTCAGAGTGGAAGTTCGGCCCCCGTCCTGGACGCTATTTTCTGCTCCGCCGCTCAGGATGTGTTTCCTCATCCAAGATTCAAGCAGTGGCGAAGCGTCCTGGCTCGCCTATAGCACAACCAAACAATGTTCCAAGAACCTTTTGTGGTTTCCACGAAATGTTCTTAGAACATGTCTGGCGGAGTCTGTCTTGTTTTATCACATCGGGTCTATGTTCTAAGAACATTGTTTTTGTTCTCAGAACATTTCTGGGTTCTAAGAACAAGAACATTTCGTGGTAGGACGATAGGAATGCCAGGACGGTCGGTCCCTGCTCAAAAGATGGAGGCTCGACATGCAGAAACGGAGGTTTTCGTTGCTTTCTGCCAGGGCAGGAGCGAACATCACCCCGCCAAGGGGGCGCTTGCCAAGCAGTCCTCGGCCTTGACCGAACTGTACTAGCCCGTTCGAGAGTGCGTTTGCCGAGGAGCTTCGCTCGCATGGGTACTCATTATGATGACGGCGGCTCGTCCGCACCCCATTACGGAAGCAAAGAAACGAAATTGATAGCATCGACGTTTCGAATATCCCCACCAACCCATCCAGAAACGACCAGAGGTTCTCTTGAGGCCTCTTGGAGGATATCTTGAGCAATGCTCGGCTAGAGGCTGTCGGAGGCTATCTTGAGCCATGCTCAGCAATCTTGAGCCACCTGGAGAGGCTATCTTGAGCAATGCTCGACCTCTTGGGACCATCTTGGGGGTAGGAGGAGGAAGAGGAAGAGGAGGACGAAACAGAGAGAAGGAGGAGGAGGAGGAGGAGGAGGAGGGGAGAAGATGCGGGGGATGAGGAGGAGCGCGGCACGATTATGATGGTGATGATGATGCGATGACGATGATGTTGATGATGATGGTGATGCTGTTGCTGATGATGTTGATGCCGATGCTGCTGCTGATGACGATGTTGATGACGAGTATGATGGTGATGGCGATGATGACGATGATGATGCTGATGATGATGATGCTGATGCTGATGATGATGATGATGATGGTGATGATGGCGCTGCTGCTGCTGATGATGATGATGGTGTTGACGATGATGATGCTGATGACGATGATGGTGTTGATGATGATGTTAATGATGATGATGCTGCTGATGATGCTGATTGTGATGATGATGATGATGATGATGATGATGATGTTGATGATGATGACGATGCTGATGATGCTGATGATGCTGATGATGATGATGATGATGACGATGATGATGCTGATGATGATGATGATGTTGATGATGATGATGATGATGATGATGATGATGATGATGATGATGATGATGATGATGATGATGATGATGGCAGTGGTGTTGGTGAGGAGGAGAAGGAGGAGGAGGAAAAGGAGGAGGGTGAGGGAGGAGACAGGAAATGAGTAGGGAAGGAACGGACGATGACCAGGAGGATGAGAAGTCGGGCTTTCGAGATATGCTGTTGTGAGAGTTTCTTGAAGGACGGCCAAGGCAATATCAGGGGCTCTGTTGGGATACCCATGGGGCATAGTGGGGCATTCTTGGGGCCCTCTTAGGGCTCGTTTTGGAGATCTTGGGACCCTCGTAGGGCTCATTGGAGGGTCTGGAAGGCCTCCTGGGCCGCATGGTTCAAGGGGTGGGGGTAATTGTTTATGCTTCGCGGGTCCTCATCAGCCCCTTCAGGAGCCTTGCCAATGAGAGTTGACGGAGAAAGGGACGAATAGACACATGTAGTGAAACAGAGCGTGCAAGGAGAGGAGAGGAAGGAGGGTGCCGAGCCATCTTGGAGATTGCCTTGGAGAATCGGAGGCCTTCTTGGAGCTACGGGGTTGCTTGGGGGGATATTGGGGTCTGCTCGGAGCTCTTTTGGGGCATCTTGGGGCCCTCTTAGGGGCTTATTTGGGAGTCTTGGGGTCCTCTTGGTGCTCTTTTGGGGCGCATTGAGGCCCTCATGGGGCCCTCTTGGGGCTCTCTTGGGGCTCTCGTGGGAGCGTCGGAGGCCTCCTGGGGTCATCTTGGAGGCCATCGATCAGAGGAGGTAGGATCCTCGATTTGCCTCCCCCCCTCTGCGACCATCAAAACAGCCTTGGGGCGCTCTTGGGCCACTCTTGGGACGCTCTTGGGTGGTCTTGGGGTCGTCTTGGGGGCCTCTTGGCTCCCTATTGGAGCTCTCTTGGGCCATCTTGGGGCCAGCTTGAGGCCTCAAAAGCGCATCAGAAGCGAAGGCAAGAATGCAGACAACCTTGATTTCCATGTGGTTGTTTGAAGGATTTGGGCTTCTTGGGGGGTCCCGAGGGAGCTCCGAGAACACTTGGAGCCGTCTTGGAAAGGTCTTTGAGGCCCCTTCGAGCATGTTGGAACCCATCTCGAACGATCTTGCGGCATCTCGAGGCACCTTGGACCCCATCCTGGAGCATCGGAGGTCCTCCCCTCGGAGGCTCAAAAATGGCGTCTCGGGGCCCCCTTGGGCTGCTCTTGGAGCGCTCTTGGGCGCTCTTGGGGTTCTCTTGAGGCCCTCTTGGGGCCCTCTTGGGCCCCAAGAGGGCCTCTCTTGGGTCGCCGTGGGGCCATCTTGAGGCCTCCAAAGCCCATTGGAAGCGAAAAAGCGAGAAAACAAAAAACAGTTATGTCCCGCTGGTTTTTTTACAGATTCTGGCCTCTTGGAGGGTGCCAATGAAGGCTCGAAGGGCACTTGGAACCGTTTTGGGGCTGACTTGGGGTCCCTTGGAGGTGTGTAGGAGGCTCTGTTGAAGGCTACCTTGAGCCATCTTGGAGGCCGTCTTGGGCTGCCGAGGGCCCTCTTGGAGCCATCTTGGGTGCACCTTGAAACTCTAACTACCCGTCCCTCCCCTTCCCAGGCTCAGCGGAGGGGGTAGGGGGAGGGGGGGACAAGTCGTTAAACCACCTACGCCCAGAGGACTGGTGAGATCAGAATTTCCTTTTTCTGGCTTCCACCCGGGCAAGCTCGTGCCTCCGCCAAGGCTCGGGAGGGAAAGCATCAACGACGCGCCGCCCTTGGGAGCCCGTCGGCGTGTTGCTCCTTTGCTTCTGTTCGAAGGCCTGGTGTGTCTTCAACGGTCACACGCTGACGGGTCCCCCACTGCGGCGTGTCATTGGCACCGCAGGCCGCCCGCACTGCCCACGAAGTCCTTCATGCTCTGAGTGCGCGCCTGCTGTGCCCACTTCGTCTTGCAGCGTCCCCGCCTAGGCCACGCGGTGCGCGGTCGCCGCGGCTGCAACCAATCAGTCATATTGATGCTGCTCTTGCCCACTCCAGGTGGAGCGCCCCCCCGCCGGCCGGGCGATGCCCGCGGCGGCGCCCGCGCGGGAGCTCGTGCCAGAGGCGGGCTCGCGAGAGGAAGAGCTCGGCGTGTGCGTACCACGCCATGTGGCCAGCCAGGCGGCCGGCGAGCTCGGCGAAGGCATTCTGCGCACACGGCAGGTTCGCGTCGTGTCAACGCGGCGGCGGCCCCGCCGCGTGCATTCAAGGTTGGACGCTGCCAGTGCTCCAGACTCGGCCAATCTGTGGCGACCTGGCGATCGAGGAGCCGCCGATCGTTCCAGGCTGGCGATCCACGCGGTGCCAGGAACCAAAGCTGGGGTTGTCACGGCACGAGCTTGCCGCAGACGCTTCATCAGCCAACAGGCTGACATCCGCCGATAGGAGTCTTCCACTCCGCGGCCGGCTCTTAGTCCCGGATCCATTCCCGATGGCCCCGGGGCCCGAAAACGGCCCCCGAGGGCCGTAATCGAAGAGACACCGCCGGCTGAGCAGAAACACATCGTCAGAGCTTTGGGCCCTTGGCCGACCAGGCGGCTCGTGGCACCGCGTGCTTCGGGCCCTTCCCCAGGGCGGCGGCGCGGGCGGGGAGAAGGCCCCGGCCGAGGCGGCGCGACTGGATGCCGCGGTGTCCGAGCTGCTGCATCGGGCCACGCCTGGCGCCCCTCGGGGAGAAGGGACACACAGCCTCGTGCGGTCGGGGAGCGTTCGTCGGAGGAGGCCCCGTCGACGACATCGAAGGAGAGAGGGCCAGCATAGACGTAGACTTGCGGAGGTCCGCGCGGAGCATGTTCACATGCCCTGGGTTGCTCTTCTGGTCTAGGCACCGGCGGCCCTCCCTGACATGCTCTGTGCTTTTGGAGCCTCCCGAGGGCTTCTCGTCGCCACGGCTGGATCCGCCTCGAGGAGCGGGCCACGATGGGCCCCCGGAGGATCCGGGCCGGGCAGGGGGGCCGCCGTGGTCTCAGCTGGCCCTCTCACGAGCGTGGCCGGGTGTCTCGTGCCGCCAGCTCTGGCCCAGGGCCCGGTGCGGGCCCCGGAAGGCGGAGCACTTGCGAGAGAGAGAGACCCCCCGCCATGACTCGTGCCACGTCGCGGGGAGGTCCGGCACCCGCCTCCCCCGCAGGTCGGGGGCAACGAGGAGGGGGGACAGGCATAGGGGGGGGGGGATGCATCGACCCCCAGTCGCCCATTGATCGCCGATAGGGGCCCGATAGCTCCAACCCGCCCAGGAAGGTGCGGGTTCGCTGTCGGATGCCTCTCGGCGATGTATCGCCGATCCCAGGTCGATGCATCCCCCCCTATGCCTACAGCTGCCCCTCGTCAGGAGGGGGGGGAGAACGAGTGCCAGTGACCAGTGGCACGCTGCCGTCGGAACCCGTCAGTGTGCTGCTCTCCGTCTCTGCCCGAAGGCCCGGCGTTTCTTCAGCAGGATGGGTTCCCCACGGCGGCGTGCCACTGGTCCTCTCGAGGCGGGGAGTCGTGCATAACCACCGCCTGGGCAGGCAGAGGGGGGGGAGATCTGGATCCATTCGGGCCTCCTGCTCCTCCTCCTCCTCCTCCTCCTCCTCCTCCTCCAGATCCGCCGCCCGCTGAGGTCCCAGGACGTCGGTTCCCAGGCGGTGGTTCTGGATGAGTCACCGCCTCGCAGTACTGTCAAGATATCTGTTGCCGCAGACTGGTCTTTGGCGACGGTGCCGCCTCAAAATGTCCTGGATGCGAAATACTGGACTCGGTGACTTTCTTTTTGCGGCGGCGCCATTGGTGAACCACTAAGTGCCCTCGATGCGCTATTGAGATTCGGCGTGGGGCTGGCGTAATGATTGCTCGCAAGCGACAACCCACCTCTCGCACCGATTGAGCCAACAGTGGCGTCACAAACGACTGCCCCACGGAAAAAAAACGAAGCGAGAACCGTAAGCAAATCTGAGTCTTGTGCTTGTTCCCCCACCCGCCCGCCAGGCATCCACGCCGCCCTCCGGGGGGCCGCCCGCGACAGCCTGGCCGCCCTGCTACGCGAGGCCGCGGCGGCGGGCGGGCGGCTGGCGCCGAGTGGCGGGCGACGAGCACGGCGGCGATGGCGAGCTTCGAGCGGCGGTGATCGGCATGGCGCGGCGACGAGCGGCGAGCGGCGCCCGGCGAGCGATCGATGGCGGCGGCATGGGCGATGACGGCTGGGGAGCGGCGAGGGCGACGAGCGCCGAGGGCGGCGGAGGGCGAGGTCGACGACGTACGAGGAGGAGGAGGAGGAGGAGGAGGAGGAGGAGGAGGACGACGACGACGGCGACGACGACAGCGACGGCGACGGCGACGAACGACGTTGGCGGCGACGACGTCCCCGCCGTTGTTTCCCGTTGCCGCCGCCGACGATGGCGGATGCGGCGGCGCGGGCGCGCAGGAAAACACGACTCCATGTTGGCGGATGCCCTCGGAGGGGAGCCTCCTCTCGGTGGGGCCCGAAGGATCGGGGGGCGTCGACAGGGCGCCTGCACCGAGGCTGCTTCTGCAGATGCTCATCCTCCCCCTCCTGCTGCTCCTCCTGGTTTCTCCTCCTCCTCCTCCTCTTCCTCCTCCTCCTCCTCCTCCTTTTCCTCCTCTTCCTCCCTGTTCCTCCCTCCTCCCTCCTCCGTCCTCCCCCCATCATCGCTCCTCCTCTTCCTCCTCCTTTGCCTCCTCCTCCTCCTCCTTCTCCTGTTCCCCCCTCGCTCATCATTCTAAACAGATTGTCCGAGGCCGTGGCCTTCAATATGAGCTACGCAACAGCAGCGCCGAGCAGAAGGAAACAGTGCAGAAACGCATGCGTCACATCATGTACTCAAGTAATTGGTGGGCGCGAGCAGAATCTGCAACATCGACGCTGGCTAAAATCAGACGGCGAGGAGTAGGCTTCAAGGATATCCGAGACCTCGAAGCATGCTGCAGCGCACTCGCATTAAGCGGAGTCCCTACAGCTGGAGCCTCAGCAACACCCACGGCCAAGCTGCACAGAACGGTCTGGCGCGCCCGATGCCCGGAGATGGTGGCAGTCAGCCTGGAGGTGACGGGAAGAATGGCACTCCCAGCAGCAGAAGAAACACACGAGGCAGTCATATGATAACGACGAAAAAGCGGTCAAGAGTGTGCGAAGTGGCGGGCATACACGTGCGATAACGGCACGATGCACAGCATGACCAAACCGCAAGTCCGACACGAGGACGCGATGATAGATAATGAAAAGGATGTTGGCCTCATAGTTGAACGATTCGAACTCAAGGCCAAGACCTGTGAGCAGATCTGGTACGACAAACGTGACAAGCACCACCAGCAGCACCACTCGTTGCAAGACTTGGGGGGGGCAATCGCACACGATGCGAGCATCCACTTGGACAGTTGAGCAGTCAGACGCGGTAGTCATTGGCATACCTCGCCGAGGCAAAAGCACGGGCAGACTTAGCACCCGCGAGGCACGACGACTCCCACTGGCAGGCCGCACCACCATGATTAATCTACTCTGCGAAATTGAGGTCTCAGGAAAGAGCGCTCCGGCTGTGGCTGGCCGAGGCGCCCGTGCGCCCGCACTCCTACCATGGCGCGGTCGAGCTCGGGAGCTCACGCATCGGGAGCGCGCGCAAGCCTGGGCCACGGAGGTCGCGGAGCCGCGGGGCGCCGCCAGAGCAGGACATCGCCGAGCTAAGGGAGGCCGCGATAAGGGCTCTCGGCGGTGAACTTGCACTGGCATTGTCTATGCACGCAGCCATTGCACTGTTAGATTTGAAAAGGTTCTACGACTCCCTGAGCTGCCAGCGGGGTTCGGATTTCTCGCGCGCGTTCTAGCGCTTTCACTGCGGCTGCTCCTTGCCCTGGGATTCCTGCGCCTGGACGACCGCTGCAGCGCGCCCCTCTTCGCCGACAAGTCGTTGCTCGCAGGGGCGCGCCTGTCGAACGACCTCGCCCGCGCCCTCGCCCACTTCGCGATGCGCCAGGACAGCGGCAGCAACGCGAAGACACAACCGGGGACGCGGTCCGACGACATCGCCGAGCAGACCTTCGCCAAGGAGGCTACCAAACAGATCACCACTGACCCCGCCGAGGCCCTGCGCGGCGAGTAGATGAGGCAGGGGCTCGAGATGGCAGCCCAACCAGCGATCTTGATCAGCGACCCGAGCGCCGAGAAGCAGATCGCGAAGGCGCCGAGCGACAGCGGAATGCACATCGACGGCGACGCTGCAGGCAGGAGCCATGGAGCCGACAGCGCGGGCGGGGCTCGGCTCGCTCGCGGCGGGGGATTCACTTCGCGCGCGCGAATCACGCGCGGGCGCGATTTGCGTCCGCGGGCAGGACGTTCCGCAAGGAGATCACGGAGCAAGGTGTCATGGGGGGAATGGAGCAAGGTGGCGCGTTTTCAACCCCTCGCAGTTCGATGGCGGGCGGGGCGTCGCCCCACGAACGGCCCCAGACGCGCAGGCGATGCGCTGCCGCGCTGCGCCGAGCACGGCCACGCATATGGCTCGCATCGCTCGTCGCGACCGCAAGGCCGACCATGAGGAATCAACAGTGGGAGCGCTGCTCGTTGCCTGGTTTGACTTGCGGGCAGCTGGTGAAAGCGACCAGAAGCAACCCATGAAGCAGGATAAGCAGAAGGGCTGGCACGTCAACAGAGGCAGCATGGATTCGCTAAATGTACTCCACTGGGAACTGGACGGGGGCCCTCGTGAATCAGACCGATGGCTCGACCCCGCGAGGAGATGCGCGGCGCTTGGAACGCGGGCGCGCAGGCGGGGGCCCGGCGGGCGCGATCGACGCGATAGCCGGCCGAGCGGAGCTGCGACAATGGAATAAGGCTAACCTCGGCCACAACGGACGCGGACTAGATCACTGAGCGGGCGTCGATGACCTCGCCAGGCGCCTCGGGGGATTAGAGAGAGCAGGCAAACGCCAAGGACGCGAGGCATTGCTCTCGGCCGCGCGCGCAGGCGCATGGACGCAGCGAAGGACTGCAGAAGCACGCGGCGCAAGCCACCCGCGCGGTTTCAGGGCCGCGGGGGGCGACTGCTGTCGCGCCCGGGGGGGGGTGGCCAATCGGAAAAGGGCGCGTCGCATCGGCGGACGGGCCACATGCGCGACAGAGCGACATATGGACTAGAGACCATCGCAGCTCTCTGGTTAAGAGGCATCACGCCTAAGCCGATGACGCGCCCGCCAGCGTGCGACGCAGAGCCGCCGGAAACCTTGGAGAGGACGCCGACGGAGACCGCCCATGCTGCGCGCGACCAGCACGCGCGCACATGCGGGGGCGGTGGCGGGGGAACTTTTGTCGAGCGACGAACGGCGCAGAGGATGCTGATTAGGTTGGGGGCTCATGCGCGGTGAACAAGTCGGAGCAGCAGCGCGGTCCCCGACAGACCGACAACCAGGCCGATCTGCGGGCACTATTGGGTATATCACAGCACTCTGTTGACCTGATTCCGCATTGGACGGGCACTGGTGCATTATGCCGAGGCCGGTGCAATCAGGCATGCGCGGCCAAGCGTTATAGAAGAGGGAATGGAGACATTTGGCGTCGCATCAAACGAGCGACCCAATAACGCGGAGGGGATCGCCGGGACATCGTGGTCAGGCACGTGAGGCGCCATCTCAGTCTTGAGGAGCCATTGGAGCGCAACGGATCAGAATACGCATGGATTGGCGACGGGGAAGCTGGCCAGCGAGCAGACCGCGCAGCCGACGAGTGCGCCACTCCAGCAGCGCAACTTAGCTGCCACGAGTGGGTCAGAGCAGCAGGCGAGCTTGCAAGACAGGGCATCGCCCAAGCCACGATGGACAGAGGACAGACCGTGGATGTCATGCGAAGACCGCGACCAGCAACGCAAGGAAATCACACAGCAGAAGCTCGCCGAAGCCACCTTGGAACAGCGGCAACAAGCAAGCACGCGTTAGAGGGAAACCACCGCAGGTTGGATGCGCCAGGCTTGCTCGCAGTCGACGGTGTCGAGAAGGAAAACTGCGGGGCGTTCGCGGCTACATCTAGAATGCCGTGGAACTACTATGCTGCAGCTGCGGCGGTACTGCGACGCACTACGCGAGCGAGATGTTAGCTGGGGAATGCAAGCCGCCTGTGGAGGAGTCACGAGGCTACTACTGCGCAGTCATGGCGATCCGTCGACACGCTTGAACTGGATACAATTTCCTGGCGCGGAAAGCAGCCCGGTCGGGCACAGTTGCAGCGCGCGACGCCAGAGCCACCGCATTACGCCAGCTGCGGCCTACGCGACGCCGCCACCACCACACCAGTATCACATGCGAGTGCACCAGCATGCGGCTTTGCAGAGTTGCTTGATCTGGTTCGCATTGTCTGTCACTCTTGTCATTTGAGCGCGCGAGGGGCACAGCGTCATGCGACGTTAGCACCATTATTTGACTATGTGCTGTTCAGTGCGCGCTGATTCTTGTGAGTTGTGAAGGGGGGCACGGTAATGCCGGTCGACCTATGGATTGACGTGATTCATTGGATTGATGCGACGTTTGTACGTTGAGTTCGCGCCCTTCTACGTGGCGCGCGACGGAGTGCAACGCTGCGTTTGCACCTGCGTCTCGACGCCAGCACAGCATGCGACGTCAACGCCAGCATGCGACGCCAGCACTCTTTTGCTTAGGCCACCGCCTGCCGGATATTATGCGAAAGGAGGCTGGCACTGTGAGACAAGGCTCCGAAACCAGCCATGACAAGAGTTGTGCGATGTGTTTTGCACTGTATGTTGCACTTGTCTGTTGAGTTCGCGACATCCGACGCGACGTTTGACGAAGCGTTTTGATTCTTGTGCGTCGCGAGGAGAGGCGCGGTGAGACAGGGCTCCATGATCCGCCGCCGTGGCTGAGTTGCCCAGTTGTAACATGCTTTGTGATGTCCGACTAAAGATCTGAATTGTTTCGTTTGTTGAGCTCACGTCCTCCTACGTGGCGCTCGACGGACCACAGCGCCTGCATACGACGCCAGCGCCAGCACACGACGCCAGCACCAGCATACAACGTTAGCGCAGCACTACGACGCAGCACTGTCTTGATTATCTGTTGTCCCGCGTGCTTTGATTATTCTGAGGAAAGAAGAGGCACGGTAAGACAGAGCTTCAAAACCCGCAGTGGCTTGATTGTTGGAGTGACGTGAATGAGGGCACGTCGTATTTCAGTCATGCTTGTGTGCGTGAACGCCTACGTGCGGCAGGCGTTGCTGCACGAGGGCGTCAGTCGCCAAGACATCCTGTCCACATCGCCCTGAGAGGGCGGACGGCCGCCGACGCCGCCGTCTTCCCTGTCCTCCCCACCCCGCCTGCCCTCCTTCGTAGGTCGTCTGGCAGGAAGCCCTGCGAAAAATCGATATTGTTCCTCCTGCTGCTTTTCCTTCTCTTCGTCCTCTTCCTCCTTCTGCTCTCAAGCCCTCCTTGATTTCCTCTTGCTGCTACTGCCCCTCTTCCTTCTCCTCCTCCTCCTCCTCCTCCTCCTCTTCCTCCCCCTCCCCCTCCTCCTCCTCCTCCTCCTCCTCCTCCTCCTCCTCCTCCTCCTCCTCCTCCTCCTCCCCCTTCCTCCTCCTCCTCCTCCTCCTCCTCCTCCTCATCCTCCTCCTCCTCCTCCTCCTCCTCCTCCTCCTCCTCCTCCTCCTCCTCCTCATTATCCTCCTGTTTCTCCTCGTCGTCGTCCTCCTTCTCCATTCTTTTTCCTTATAACTAATTTCTCCCTGTCGCACCCAAAGGCCAGTTCTTAGGGCGGGCCAGGCGTTTCGATTTCTTCACCATTTATGATTCTGAAGTTTAACAAGTGAACAGCTTCACGGATTGAGGGCGGGTCGTTTTCAACATGTGGTTCTCGCATTAGCGCCGCGCACATTCGTCTTTTACATGTTGCAGGAGCTTCACGGATTGAGGGCGGGTCGTTTTCAAAGTGTGGTTCTCGCTTTCGCGCCGCGGGCTTTCGTATAAACAAATTGCGAGAGCTTCACGGATTGCAGGCGGTACCTTTTCAAAGTGTGGTGTTGTGTTTGCGCCGCACGCGTTCGGTTTAAAGAGTTGCAAAAATGCCACGGGTTGAGAGCAGGTGGTTTTAAAAATGTGGTTCTCGCCTAAGCGCCGCGCGCATTCGCTTTCAAAACTCGCAAGAGTTTCACGGATTGAAGGCGCCCGTTTTCAAGATGTGGTTCTCGCCTTAGCGCCGCGCACATTATTCTAAACAAATTGCAAGAGTTTAGCGGAATCCCATGATCAACGTACCAGAAATGGTGCTCTGGAGAAACTCAAGATGCTGCGGGCGCAACAGTTTTGCTGATTCGCGGTATTGGGGTCACAAAAATGGCGTTCTGGGTCAATTCCGGATCGTCAAGACACAGTAGTCAGGTTGATCCGTGGCGTTGACCAACAACAATGTTTTGGCATGTTTCAGGATCTTCAAAAGATTGTCCTCCAACGAGGTAGTTTCTTCAATGGAAATGAGCCGTTGTAGGGGCCTGTGAAGAGGGAGCTTGGAGGAGGGTTAATTCCAACATCGTTGATAACTCTTGGGTTTACACTGGTAGTCCTCCTCCTCCTCCTCCTCCTCCTCCTCCTCCGCCTCCTCCTCCCCATCCTCTTCCTCCTAGCCTCTCCTCCTCCGAGCCTTCCTTCGGTGGGGCTGGAAGGATCGGGGGGCGCCGATTGAGCACCTACCGAGGGTTGGGGTTCGAGGAGGTTTGGGGTTCGCACACGCTTTTACACCTTTCTCGCTCTCTTGGGCTTCAAGGAGGCTTTCCGTTGCACGAGTGGCTGCGAATCGAAATTCTGGCCAGGACGTACCTCGGGACAGGTCCACGGACAGATTTTTGCCCCCCGGCCTCAGATCTCCCCCTCGCGTCGCGAAATAAGTCGCAATGGGTGGTTTGGGATGCTTTGTTTTCGGTCCCTGGGGCCCTTCCAGGGGCCTGTACGGTGCCCCAGGATTGTCGAAGAGCGACTCATGATGAACAGCCGCCGCCATTCACCGAGCGCGTTCCACTACAGTACTCGCAAAGTGCCAAGTCGCAACCGCCCGAAAAATAGTTGGCTGCCTCGGCGCAATGTATCGTGAATCCCCCGCGGCGGATCCAGGCCATCTGCGAGTAGCTACTTTGCGAGTACTGGAGCACGCTTGTCTATCCATGGGAGGGTGTCGACAGGTCCAAGGGCCGCGCATTGAACAACAAAAAAGGAAAAGGCGAACGACGTCGGACGCCTGGGCAACCAAACTCCCACACCGAGGATCGCGACTCTTGGGGAACCCCTCGCCTTTCTCTTGCACCCGCACCGAGGGTCGAGGCTCCTGGAGTTGCTCCTGTCTCCCCTTTTGGGGGCCTCATGGCGACCAGAAGCCTCCCGGAGGCCCACAGTAACGAAGAACACCAGCGAGGGCCGCTGTTGTCTCGCCTGGCCCTCCTCCGACGATCGTCGGCGCGCGCCCACCCCCCCGCCCCCACCAAGAGAGAGGCAGCAGCGCGGTCAGGACGTTGGCATTAAGGATGGCTTTGTCCGCTGTTGTGGCGCTCCTCGTGGCTCGTGGCCTGTAGGCAGCACCCGATCCGCCCCCCCCCCCTCGGGGATCGGGCAGAGCCGCGGGCCGCCACGAGGGGGGTCAACAGCTCCTCATGGAAACCGACGCTCGAGGAGGCTTTTGGACGCCCAGGGCAGGCTCGGAGGGCTCCGGAGAGTGCTCTCTGGGGCCCGCCTCCGGGAGGACGTGGCGCCTCCCCGAGGGAGTGGCGACTCCCCCCTCGCAGTGGCTCCCCATACACCCCCCCCCCGGCCTCGGCCCACCAGCCAGGTCGTTCTCGTCGCCGCCGCCGTCCCACCAGCCAGGTCGTTCTCGTCGCCGCCGCCGTCGCCGTCGCCGTCGACGACGCCGTCGCCGTTATCGCCGCATTTATCGCCGCCGTCGTCGTCGTCGTTGGCGTCGTCGTCGTCGTCGTCGTCGTCGTCGTCGTCGTCGTCGTCGTCGTCGTCATCCGAAGAGGAAGCCCGCGGGCGTTGCCTCCGCCGCTGCGCCACGACTCGTTGCTGCCGCGCGCGCCGTCGGAGGCGCTGGCGGAGAAAAAACGCTCCACGGACGCGGGGCGAAGTGGGCAGAGGAGGGGGCACGAGGAGGATGAGGAGAAGAGGGAGGAGAAGGACGACGAGGAGGACCCGCAACCCTGGCGAAAATTCTGGAGCGTCGTGGGCACTCGTAGGCATCACACCATGTTCTACAAAGTGAAGAGTCACCCGGCCCCCGACGAGACCGCCAGAGAACCGCAGTGGGCCCTTCATCTCAACGACCACGCCGACAAACTAGCCTCAGAACCAGCTCGTTGGCGTCGTGTCCCTGAATGGCTCGTTCGACACATCGAATGAGTGGACATCCATGCCGATCTCAGTCGTGAAAGGCTAGCTGCTAGCTGGAGTACAACAGTTCGATTGGGAGAATACCGACAACCCAGGCTTGGAGGAGGAGGAGGAGGAGGAGGAGGAGGAGGAGGAGGAGAAGGAGGACGTGCGGGGGCACCGTAGGAAGGCAACGGTAGATAGTAGCGTAGCAGCCCTGCAAGTCGAACTAACCAGGTCTCCCCATTATCTCACTCGTGCCCCCACCCCTCCCCTTTTCCAGGTCTCTTGCAGCAGCTGTGGAACATGACGTAGTGTACTTCGGGGGATCCCCAGGTGGCTAAAATCCCCCTGTGTGCCCCAAGGTCCCCAGAAACGATTTCACCCCGGCCACAGCCCTCACATCAAAGAGTTGCGGTGAATTTTGTGGTGCTCCCGATGCGGAGCCTGGTCAGTTCGACCCACCAAGGATTTCGCGTTGCCCTGCCAACCCCCCAAAGACGGAGGCAAGCGAGCCCCAGCGAAGCTCTGAGGAGGACGAGGAGGACGAGGAGGAGGAGGACGAGGAGGACGAGGAGGACGAGGAGAAGGAAGAGGAGGAGGCGGAGGAGAGGGAGGAGCAGGAGGAGGAGGAGGCGGAGGACGAGGAGGAACGGGAGGTGGAGGACGAGGAGGAGGAGGACGGGGAGGGAGGAGGGAGGGGGGAGGGGAGGGAAGGAAAAGGAGGAAGAAGAGTAGGACGAGGATTAGGATGAGGAGGAGGAGGAGGAAGAAGAGGAGGAGGAGGAGGAGGAGGAGACGGAACGAGGAGGGGCGAGGAGGGGGGGGGGGAGGGAGGAGGAAGGAGGGAGGAGGGCGCGAAGCCTGCCGCGCGCAGCCGCCGTGGTGGGGCTCTTTTCTGAGCTCTCGGCCCCCAGCTGACAACATATTTTCAGTCGTTAGCTACGCTCCCCTCGCGCGCCCTGCCACTGCCGACGCCGGTTCCTTTTGCGCGGGTTGGCGCCGGCAGCGATGACGTTGATACTGCAGTTGTTTTTGCTAGAAACGATAAACTCGCGCGCGCCCCCGCCGTCCCTCTGGTCGGCCGGCCGGCTAATGCCCGTCATGCATTGGTGCACTTGCTCACCATATACGAAAAGCAGTCATGGCGACATGTGCACCCCCATGCGGAATTTGGCACCACTACTACAAGACCAAGAACGTCAATAACAGTAGCTCACCAACAGGATCTGAATAATGCCCCAATCGGTGATTCAGAGGCAAAGTGCCGCTATCAGCCGAAAGTGTCACCGCGAGCTCACGAAGCTGCGCCTCCTGCCTCGAAGGCGCACGCACCAGGCAACGAAGAGCAATGCCACGGCCCAAGAGGAATCCAACATATCGTCTTCGAGCCCGAGTCCCCCGACTGCGCGAGGGGCTCCCACTCGCGTTCATCGCAGAATCTCAGCAAGAGCTTCTCGCCGTCGTCGGGAGTCGCGCAGGCGGAGCGAGGCCCTGGCCGTCGTGGCCCACCACGAGCGGACGCAGACAAGGCGGAGGAAGACGCCGAATCCTATGGGTCGAGCAACATGGACGAGCAATTGTTGCCGCCCGGCGCCCATCAAGCCTACGGGATCTCCCCCGACCCGCATCATGAAATTGACAGACGATTACGCGTCCGTCTCGTCGGAAGAGGAGGGATCAGTCAAGTCGACTCCCCGCATAGACCGGGAATGGCCGATGAATTTCATCCGGGGGGCGATCCCGAGGTCTGTAGTCTCGGGCCACCCCTCTGATCGACTCAGCAGCCATCGCCGACGCCGGCACAACTTGATGACTGGGTCGCAGAAGCCTCGCGGGAGGACCTGCGCGGGGACACGGCGATGGCGATGGCTGGCGCGCCCGCGGCCGCCCGGCAGAACGCCGAAGAGGCTGCCGGGTCGAGGGCGCTCGCGGCAAAGCAGCCGCGGGGGGCCATCGGCCCGTGACGGAGGGAGTGACGGAGGGGCCATCGGCCCGTGACCACATCGGCCCGTGACCACATCCCCGATCGGCCCGCGACCACATCCCGCGATCGCAAAACGGACCATGACGGAGGGAGTGCAAGGGGAGACCCAGGCGCTCGAACCGGGGGGCGGCCCCGGGGGGCCGCGTTCCTGGGCCGCCCATCCGCCCCCCGCGCCTGCTCTCCGCGGGCGGGGGGCGCGGGGCCCGATCGACGCAGGACTTCGAGGGCCCCGTCGGGCGCGTCGTCGTCCTCCGCTCG